GCATTTTTTTTTAACCCTCCCCCTGCCACTAGGACCCCCTGTAGAAGGGATATTAAAAAAAAAAATCTCTGAACAAAAATCAATCGATCCTTTAGATTCCCCCAATATTAGAACATTGGGTGGTTTTGCACAAACACACACCCTGGACCCCAAAACGCATTCCAAAGGGAATGATCACTGTTCCAGGCGAAGAAGGGGGGAAAAAAGAAATTTTACGGAGGTGGGAATTCTTATTTGTCTTTGTGACTGGTGTACAAGTTCACCGCCCCTCCGGCTGGCTCCAGCTGGCTCTCAGAAAATTGCATTCAGCATCCCCGCCTGGGTAAGATGCCATGAGAATTATACTGAGTAGGTTCAGAGGGCTGCACTTCGTTTGCATAGCTCCGCCCTGGCACCTATTCCTTGCTCATAGTACCTTGGGAGGCTCTGGCCTTGCAAACCAAGCTGCAGCCCTGGGTTGAGAAGTCCACTCTACGCCTCTCTCCATAACCCTGCCACTCTAGGCTTTCCACTTGTCTCCTGCCAGATAGCCAACATGGCTCACAGCAATGGAGATACGCCACCTTCATTGGGCGGTTCTTCAGATGCCTTTCCCTCTCTCCCCCCCCCCCCGGCCTTCTTCCTCAAACTTAGGGTTCCACCAGCCTTGGTGGTTTCTCCAACTGTGCCTCAAATCTGACAGGGATGGGCTCTCCTTTACTAGTCTTGCAACCCAAGTCAAGTGGAAATCATGGCAGTTACTTTCCCAACCCAACTGGAAGGCACCCAGTCATGACTTTCGACTACTTCAGCAATGGGGCTGGCAGTCTGAACGTGAGAAAGATGGGTACATAATGCTGCAGCATCAACCTAGCATGGAACGCGGAGGCAGGATGGGTCAGAATGCAAATGAGTGCTTAAGCTTTGAAACCCCGTGCATCTCACAATGACTGAAAGGTAATCCTCTGGAGCCTTCGACCTCCCTTGAGATCCCAGTTTTGCTCGGGTTGATTTGCAAAGCTTACAAGCGCCCAGCCACCAGCTGCTCTTCGAGTGGGGTGGCATGTTAAGAGAATGGAATCGGCAAGGAAAATAACAATTCCACATTGGTGCGAGACCTTCTTGGGATGCATGGAACGCGCTGAGCCAAGTCAAGCTTGACTGACTCTCTGTAGTAGAGTCAAATCTGACAGGGATGGGCTCTGCTTTCCTAGTCTTGAAGCCCAACGCAAGTGGAAATCATGCGAGTTCCTTTCCCAACACATCTGGAAGGCATCCAATTGGAAAAAAAAGTTGTCCTAAATGTTAAGACCTAAAAGGAATCACGTGAAAAGGATTATTGAATGGAGATTGCATTGAACTCTGGGGCTGAGAGGTACAGCTTGTTGTTCATACCTGTGGCCCAGTTCTGAGTTAACAACCGCAATAGCACTTAAACTGATATGCTGCTCCATCGTGCTTTACAGCACTCTCTGAGCAGTTTTACAATGTAAGCATTATTTGCACGTTGCCCCCGACAATCTGGGTCCTCGCTTTGCTGACAGCAGAAGGATGGAAGGCTGAATCAACCTTGAACCCCATCAGGATCGAACTCCGGGCTGTGGGCAGAGTTAGCCTGTAATGCTGCATTATAACCACTGGGCTACCACAGCTCTTAGTACAACCTTATTAGTTTGACTTAGGTACCTCCTCAAGGCACCAGCTATGAAGGGGGAAAGGGGGGGGACACAACATGTTTTTTTCCCTCTGTTGCAACTCCGGATTGCTAGAAGGGAAGGTAGATGATATCTAAGTTCTCAGAGCATCTCAAGGGAAAGAAAAAGTGAATATCCAACCCACTTAATCAAAACCCTTTCCCTTCTTTTTTTTTTTACATGTGTCACATATAAAAAAGAGGTGGGGTCTTGAACTCAGCGCTGCAGCTGCCATCTTGACTTTTTTGACCCTGCTCTTGATAAATTTGGACCCGTTAGACCAGTGGTTCTCAACCTGTGGGTCGGGACCCCATTTGGGGTCGATTGACCATTTCACGGGGGTCACCAAGCAAGGCTGTCCGACATTTTTTTTGTCTGCCATTTTTTCCCCTTTTCCGGCGGGTGCCTTACCTCCCTTGGGCTGGGCCAGCTGGTGGTCAGCCTGCTCCATCTCTGCTGCTTGCCAGCTACGCCTCGGCCGGCGCAGGGGGCGGAACCACGCATGCGCGGCGCTCCTGGGCAGGGAAAGTCCTCGACTTACGACCGGTTGGGTAGTCCTCGACTTACGACCGGTTTAGTCCTCGACTTACGACCGGTTGGGGTCGCGGCATTAAAAAGGTTGAGAACCACTGCGTTAGACAGTCTTTCTCTCTCTCTTAAGCCATGATCCTGCTCCAAATTTCTGCACTATTTCAAGCCAAAAAGAAATACCATGGCAGATTTATTTTATTGGGAAATAATGTAATTCTTCTGGAAAAATTACAAGAAATGTATCAGCCATTTATACTTGGATGCTGCTGTGAAGCCTTTTTTTTTTTTTATTAAGAAACACTGACACCCACTTGCAGCTGATCGAAACTGACTTCAGCGAGAATGATCTCTTAGTCTGAATTAGCTTTGCCCTCTGCCAATACAATTGTAGCACAGCCAGTTGCGATCAAGGAAAATTGCATGCTTAATGCAGTGTCCACGTTTTTTTCGGATCAAAACAATATCTCCAAACATTAAGTACAACTTTATTAAAGGATGCAGAATATCTGAATTGTGTGCATTTTGGCATAATTTCTTCAGTGTTTATGCTTTTCTCATTGCAGTAGCTACATTGGTGCATTTTTTTTTAAAAAAAAGACTCACACCACTGTAGCTTAAATGAGCCTGTGCTTTCACGTTCACTGATCATACTGGGTGGTTTTCTCTACTAACTTATTGCTGTTTATCTCTGCGTTTGTTAAATATGCTGCCTGTCCTCTTAAAACATCCCCAGATGGTGTACAAAACTATACACGTATAGCTTTGCTGCACAATAATTTTTAATCATCCAATAAGAAGCTCAAAGGAAAATTCATCTATTAGCCAGAAACTAAAATGCTTCCAGCATCAGTTCAAGGCACTGTTTCATCTTAGATTTAGTATTATGCCTTCAGTGAGATGGGTGGCATACAAGTTTGATAAATAAATTATTCCACAAAAATCTGCTTAATTGTCGCAGCAACTGGCTGATCTTGTCTGAACGTAGAAAGTAAGTGAGGTTGCACCTGGTTAGGACTAGATGAGAGACTACTAAGAAGTACCCAGGTTGATTAAAAGGTCATAAAACACCCTAAAAAAAAGCGGTAGGACAATTTCTAAGATAGCCAAGGGTCTCCCACTCGTGCAGAAGATTGGACAAGAAGATCTCCAAGGTCCCTTCCAGCTCTCTTATTCTATGTTCTAAGCTTCAGCATCCTCTGGGTTGTGTTGCTTTTCTCAGCATGACAAAAACAATGTTGTGACTATGAACCACAAGCCTGGAGGATGAGCAGTTTTGTAACCCATGTGGAAAAGGGGCCCCAGCTTGTATTATGATACCACAATGTTGCTTTTCTCAACCTGATCCTCCTTGTCCCCTTTGTGGATGCCCCTACCTGGAAGGGTCCATGAAATCTCCAGGAGCTGAGCTTGACCTGAACAGGCTTTGTCTTCAACAATGCGAGAAACAATTCCATAGTTGAGCCATCTCCACTGAGAAGGCCCGATCTGGATTCACATCCTATGGGCCAGAATCAAGATGGGACCACAAACAGGGCTTCCGCTGGCAAGTCTCAGCCCAAGCGTTGGTTGACAGTAGAGAAAACGGGGACATTTGTGACTGTGATTGAAGTCCTGCCTTTGTTTTGACACGTTGCCTTCACTCCGCCGCATATTTTTAAAGCTTATTGCGATGGGTTAGCTCAGTGCTTGAAAAGAGCCTATTTTCGATGGCTTTGACAACAGACCTGCAGGGTGGGAAGAAAAGCTAAATAATGTATAAAGACATTAAAATGATTGCATGGTAGGAAAATTGATTTTCAAAGCTAATATTTGAATGCCGGGTCTTCCCCAGCTTCTGCCATGGCAATTTCACATGCCTGTTGGAATTGTATTTGCTTGAAATATAATAAACTAAGGAATTGCTACTTCTTCTTCTGCTTTCTGGTAGCAAAAACTGTATCTACATGACAGGAATCTCCTCAAGTCAGCTGTGGTTCACCCAGTGCGTTAAGAGTGTACTCTCAATCAAAATAAAGTAGTCTGTCATTAACCTTGATAAAAGGATTCTGAAAAGTATTATCCACTCCATCTTTGTGGAGAGGGAAAGAAGTGTTGTTCTTGGTCTTTAGAAATCTCCTGTTTCATTTTTCTCCTTCCTTTTTTTTTTTTTCTTCTCTCTTTCTTTTTCAGGCAACCAGTAAAGACGCAACGAAGATCAGCGTAAGTACCTGTCAAAATGCATGCGTGGCGTTGTCTGTCTATAATACTGAAGTGGTTCCTCCAGGTTCACTTTCTACCTGCCTGGAAATGGACAAAGAGGCGCCAGGAGTCATTTAACGCATTTAGAAATGACGGCCTTTCTATCAAATTCGTTGCACGCTCATTATCAATTAAGGGTGAGGCCGTTATAATCAGCTAATTGCCCTGCTGATTGAGCAGGGTCTATCTTTGGCGTGTAGATAGGGGACAGTTTGGAAAAGTCTACCTTCCTTCTGGAGTCTGTTGGTCCTCAGCTACTAGAGAGATGAATTTGTCTCAGGGTTTCTCACCTCCTCAAATCCTAGTCTCAGTTTGTAATAGACAAAGCCAATGAATAGTTCAGGAGGCCACATCCTCCAGGAGAACTTCAAATGGAGGTGGAGATAAGCCATTGTCAGGAGGAGCCAGGGTCAAAAGACAGCATGGGTCTGTCTCTCCATTCTCTCTTTCTCTCCAGTCAATCAGAAAAGGGTAGATCATTTTGCCACAAGCTTGCATTAATGACTCGTGGAGAACATTTGAAACCGAACCGAGAGCCATATGAGTTTAGATCAAAGGGTTTCATATGCAGGTAGGGCCACAGGCTGCCCACCTCCTGGCCTGAGAGGCAGGTTACATTTGGAAGAATGAAACGCTCTCTTCTTTCCGAGCTTTTACCACTTCGAGCTGCAGCTGGGAATTCTACACGTTTGGATGAAAACGCTTAGGTTTTGTTTCAATGGCAAAATATCTCCCCATTCATGGAGAAGAGAAGACTCCAAAGGGGAACATTAAGGACAAACAGCCCCACTGTTTTTACTCACATCCAAAGGCATTTTAAGAGTTTGCTAAGGTTCCATCTTGTACTTAAAGTCTGAAGCAGATGGTTGGAGAGATGGTAGGACAGGTATGGAACACCATAGAGCTAAGGTTTAGCCTACAAGGATTTGTAGTTTGGAGGGGATAGGTTTAATTGGACATTCTTAGTACCTCCATCAAGCAATTCTTTTATTCTCTCTCCTTCCTTCCTTCCTTCCTTCCTTCCATCCATCCATCCATCCATCCTGCCTTCCTCTTTTCCTTTCCTTTCCTTTCCTTCTGTCTTTCTGTCTTTTCTCTCTCACACACATGACAGCTAAATAATTGATATAATGTCAACTTTAGGTTTGTGGTGTTTGTCATGGTGTGGGAAAGATTTCAAACTGGTTTCGCGTCTAACAAAATGACCACATACTCTTTTGGACCTGCTGGGTGAGCTAGCATGGTTTTGTCCCACGGCTGATTGCACCTTAGATTTCAGAGGCTAATCCATCATTCACCCACTTCGGTCAAGTTCATTTAGACTATATTACAATGGAACTACGCTTGTTGATTTGAAACACCCTTCTGTCATATATGGCCTCCTCTTTGTCCTACTCTAAGGTGCAGCTTAGTCGTGCTAGCTACACCCTTCCAGATCCTGCTTGTGAAATTATGATCTATTCAAATACAGGAATGATGATGATGATGATGATGATGATGATGATGATGATGCCTTCAAAAATGAGGTCTCCCATTTTTTTTCATCTAAAGACAACCAAAACTACTTAAAATCCAGGTTTAAGTGCAGAGCAGCTAGAGAAAAACTAGATTTTATTTTATTTTACATTTACATTAAATTAACCAGATGCAGTTGATAGGTTGCCCGTTGCATAGGGTGAAGACTTGACTGAATTGGTTTCTTCCAGCTGTGTGATATTATAATTCTGTGATTTCCCACAAGGAATTTCAATTTTCCTTTTCCCTTTTTCTTTTCTTTTTTCTTCCCATCTCTTTCTCCTTTTCTTTTCCTTTTCTTTAATTTTTGGAGGGGGAAAATGTTGTGTGTGTGTGTGTTGGGGGGGTTGGCTGGCTGAGATTTTTATGAGCTTTGCAGAGGATTAAATGCAGACATTGTATTGGTGCTTTAACGAGGAGAAAGGGCCCCTGGATTTAGTCTGGGGAGCAGAAGCACAGAATGAGTGTCTAGATGTGATTGGAACCCTTTCTTTTTATAAAAGGATGAAGACAGGATTAAGAAAGCCCAGCACGTTGGGGCTGATATTTTGACAGGTGATATATTTTCAATGCATTGTTGCTGGAAAGGGGGAATGGCTAGGATTAACGGCCCGGCTGTTGACTGTAGTGGAGAGATGCATTTAATTAAGGGAAGAAGGAAATGGAATTAGTAGCTGATTTTGGACGAGAGAACCAGTGCTTAGAAATAGTCACTGTGGGCTGGAGAAATAGAAATGGACAGAAGCAAAAGACGAACAATGGCGAGCCATTTCATTTGGGAGAAGGCCAATTCAATTTGGAAGACGAAGAGCACCACCAAAAGGCATCGTACGTTCGCTGAAACCAGAACAATCAAAGAATGATTTGATTTTTCAAGGCATTGCTTTAGAAACTCCATCATGAACATTGCTTGGCGTTTGTTTTGTTTTTTTGGCCTCTGTAAGCCTGTCATTGCCATTTTCAAATCTTGATTTTGTGCCTTAAGGCCACATGGGAATACATTTGTCATCTGTTTCATAAATCACAATTAAACAAGCCATGGCTTATCAATAATATGTAAAGCTAAAAGGTAACCAAGAGAAGTAAAGTTCAAGAGCCTTCAGAATCTTTGTCTTCTCCTTGCAAGTCCTGATCCAGGTTCTTTCCTGGGCTGGGACCATTTATGATCTTGTGAGAGGGGGAAAAAAGAGCTTTTCTACAAGATCAGGGGCATTTTTGTGGAATGCATTAGGGTTTTCAACTTTTCTGATACTCAAAACAGATTCTGAGATTGCGAAGCTGTTTGTTATAGCTTTCAGCGAAATTCAGGTTAGTGCTACAAATCCTTCTCTGATTCCTCCATCCAGGAAGGTGCATTTAGATCTTCATCCACTGAAAACCAAACCTCCTTGAAACCATAATAATTTGCTGTTATCAGGAGGAGGAGGAAGAGAGGCTTTAAAATTGGGGAGCAGATATGGATGCAAGATGAAGATTGAAACGTTTAAGAACAATCCATAATTGCATAGAAAGGATGGCAAAGTTTTCAATCAAGTTTCCCTGGAGAGACTCATACATTGAATTGGATCCTATGAACAAAATGCCAGAAAGGCTATTGCAGGGCTTTTCGACCAGTGGTACGGGTACCACCTGTGGTACATTGGCACCTGGCAGGTGGTATGTGACCATCCTAGAAAAGTAGTAGCGGGGGAGGGGAATGAGCGGAACCGGTGGCAACACCGCACAAGCCTGAGTGAGAGACGGCTGGAGCTGCAGGGCTGTCAGGGCTCAGTGGAAGCGCCAGGATCAGTGCTTCTTCGGGGCTGTCAGGGTTCAGTGGAAGCGCCAGGCTCCAGCTGGAGCTCGGCACTGATCCTGGTGCTTCTGCTGAGCCCAGAAGAAGCGCCGATCAGCTGGAATGTTGCAGCCTCTCCAGGGTCTTGTGATTTACATTCAGATGCTTGGCAACTGATTCATATTTATGACGGTCACAGTGTCCCAGGGTCTTGTGAAGTGACCAAAACCTGCTGCAACCACCCAGCAGACAGGGGGAATAAAAACCAAACACCCCCCCACCCCACCCCCGCTGCCAATCCTCAACAGAAATGCTCACAACAATGGAAACCTCGGACAGGAGGGCTGCCGGGTGGGCAGGCAGGTGTCTTGCTCGGCTGTGGCTTGGGGGGCACTTTTTTCAGTGCCATTGTAACTTCGAACAGTCACTAAGCGAACTGTTGTAAGTCAAGGACTACCTGTACTTTATCACTTTTTTTCCTCTTGGGGGGGTCATTAAGTTTTTGACACCTTGCTAGGCGACTGGTGGTACTTGGATATTGCCATATCCTAAAAGTGTGACAATGGGTGAAAAGGTTGAAAAGTCCTGGGCTATTGTAGTGTGATTTGAGATGCACTGCTAGAAGCTAGCTTATTTTCAAATCATGTGATTACAGAATGCGGATCAGAGGGTGGATTTTGCAGAAGGATTTACCGTATCGCTCCATAAAATGGCTGGGAATTTGAGAATTAGAGTGTCAATCAAACTAGAAGGCAGGAGGGTAGAAATAGAAAGAGGCATTGCATTATGGAAATAACTACTTGTGTAGAAATCTACTACATTAGCAGGACTAACTTTTTTTTTCTTGCTACCTCTTCCAACCCTTGAGACCATCCTACTGTACGATTAGTAGATCTTTGGTCCATGAAATGGACTTTGAATTGCACAACATGTTGCCTGACTGCTTAATTGTCTCGCCTCATTAAATCTTCCTTAGATTTGACTGCACAGAGCAATTTATAACTAAAAAAAAAAGCTATGGGGAAATAAGGCCATCTCCCCCTCTCAACCACAAAAAAACAGAATATGTACTAGGACAGATGCATTGTGGGATCCGCTGCAAAAGGGGGTAGGGCCACGGCACAGAAGAGGAGGGGCAAGTGACAACTTGATACACGATGTCATGCCTGGGAGATTCCAGGGGAGTTCTGGCTGTGCACCCAGCAGGTCCAATGCTCAACACACGATAGCTTCAAAAAGATCTAATAACCAATGGAAGATCAGAAGCCCATCAGAAGCCCATCAATGGGTCTCCCACTAGAATGGTTTGGATTCAAAGGTCCATAAGCCCCCATCAGTGTTCCTGTCTACTGAAATATATATATATATTGCACAGTCCAAAATATCTGGAGGGCGCTGGATGGAAGAGGGCTACCAGGGCAGGGGGTTCATGGTTAAAACTGAATCATGTAGGCATGGGACAAATTGGTAGAAGAGGCTTCTGTCCTTCTCTCTCTGCTTTGCTTGTTCCAGTGCTGGGAAGGTGATCTTACTCTCCACATCCTTAGGCTTTACGAGGCTTTCTCCCTAAAGAGTTTTTTATCTGCTGCCTACCACGAAGCAAACCCCCTTCGAGTTCAAGCAGGGATAGGCGAGAGCACCTTTGGGTGTTAGCTATGAACATCAAGGGGTCTTGCTTTGCCTCCCGTGGTTTCTCCTTGGCTTCAGGATGGAGCCTCCAGAGAGGATGAGAGTCACCCCTTTTTGTTGCCTTTCCCCTTTCCTAGATCAGTGGTTCTCAACCTATGGGTCGGGACCCCATTTGGGGTCGATCGACCATTTCACGGGGGTCGCCAAGCAAGGCTGTCCGCCATTTTTTTCCCCTTTTCCGGCGGGTGCCTTACCTCCCTTGGGCTGGGCCAGCTGGTGGTCGGCCTGCTCTGTCTCTGCCGCTTGCCAGCTACGCCTCGGCCGGCGCAGGGGGTGGAACCACGCATGCGCGGCGCTCCCGGGCAGGGAAAGTCCTCGACTTATGACCGGTTTAGTCCTCGACTTACGACCGGTTGGGGTCGCGGCATTAAAAAGGTTGAGAACCACTGTCCTAAATTGTCCTTCTTAGTCCACAAACCCAACAGGGCAGGGTAGAAAATCTCCAAGGAGGAGATGATCCAGGGCTGTTGTTCCCCTCTGATGGCTGCAGAGGCTTCACCCCGCTTGCTACCCTCCCGCTCGCCGCCCCGACGACCCCCACAGCGGGCCCGCCACGCCTAAGTAACCCCTTCTTTCTCCCTCTTTTCCAGACGGTGCGCGTCCAGGGCAACGACATTTCGCACCGGCTGCGGCTGTCAGGGGTCCGGCGCCAGGACGAGGGGGTCTACGAGTGCCGGGTATCGGACTACGGCGACGAAGACACGCAGGATCATAAAGCCCAGGCGGCGTTGCGGGTCCTGGCGAGCTTGTCGCCTGCCGACGTGCAGGCGGCCGAGGCCGTCTCGCACATCCAGAGCAGCGGCCCGCGGAGAAGCAGCCCGTCCGGGCGAGCCACCGCCGAGCCCGGCCTGGGAGACAAGCGCCTCCTACCGGCGCAGGGCGAAACCGCCGCTTCCTCTTCCCTCTCCTCCTCCTCCTCTTCCTCCTCTTCTTCTTCCTCGGCGTCTTCGGCGTCCTCCGCCGCCTCTTCCTCCTCCAGCCCCGCGACTGTGGCGGCGGCGGCGGCGGCAGCTGCAGCAGCCTCGTCGGCCTCGCCTCGGCCGGGCTCCGCGATCGTCCTCCCGCAGCAACGAGGAGCAGGTAGGTGGAGGCGCAGCGACACCCGGTGGGGAGTGGCGGAAGCGCAGGGAGCTGTCCCTGGTGCTGAGCGCCGGCTTTGACTTGGCTGCCCGCAAAGACGCGTCCGGACGCACCTTGCTCTGGGTCAGTTCAACCGGCAGGCTAATGGTTCCTTCTTCTGCTCCGTTGGGTTTCTACTTGAGCTCGTCTTTGGCGACGTGTAAAATCCTCCTTTGAGGGTTCAGCTGAACGTTCATATTGTTTTTATGCACTTCTATCGACGCACAGGGCGTTGCCCGCCACCACAATCTTGGGGAATGGGTTAAGCTGGGGAGAGAGCAACTGGCCCAAAGTCATCCTATGGGTTTTGGTGGACTTGGGTGGAATCTGGGTCTTCTAGTCCAACACTGTAACCCTAATTCAACCCTAATTGGCTCTCCATGTGGACTGAGTACATTTTCCCAATAGTCTCCCGTTCAAATAGGAAGCCTAAAATAATTCTCAACGGACGTTTTCTTCCAGAGGTTGTATTGCATTCAATTTCAAAGAATTTAGCCTGATGTAGACCGAAAATATTTAAACTGAAAAGGACAAAAATTGGGCATTGCTTCTGATAAATTGTGTTTGGGCCAAATGCTCTTTTGAGGGAAAATTGAGAGCAAATGTTCTTTTTGAGGGAAAAAAATATGGTTCTTTGAAGAATGAAAATATTTTTATGTGATTGGATGGTGTTTTAATACTTAAGAGTATATTTCTGAGTATTTCTTTCAATGAAGCTCTTATGTCATGAACATTGCCATTGAAAACCTCTTAGTTGATCCAAGAGAAAGCTTTGTATTTCTCCCAGCAGGGCAGTAAGTGAATGTAATGCTTTAAAAGGTCAACTGAGTACTTGCCTCCCTAGGATTCACTATAGAAATAATATAGACTCATTGTACGAAGAAAACTCTATTACAAATTATTATATAAAGCATTTCTCCAAAGCACTATGTAGCATTAACCAGTAATAGTAATAATAGCAGAGAAGCTACCTTGTTCTCTCACAGAGGCTATTGCAACAGTTCTGTGGATTTATTTTCAAATATCAGCAAGATCATAATTATATGACATCGATCTATTTGAATGTATCTTTAGGTTGTTCGTCATTCTTCCCCCTCCATATTTATAATACAGGTAGTCCTTGACTTACAACAGTTCATTTAGTGACCGCTCGAAGTCACAACCGCACTGAAAAATGATCACCTGATCAAAATTCAGATGCTTGACAACTGGTTCATATTTACGACCTTTGCTGTGCCCAAGATCATGGGATCCCTTTTTGTGACCTTCTGACAAGAAAATCAAGGGGGAAGCCAGGTTCAACTAACAACCAGCTTACCAACTTATCAACTGCAGTGATTCACTTAATAACGGTGGCAAGAAAAGTCATAAAATGGGACAAAACTCACTTAACAGCAGAAACGTTGGGCTCAATTGCGGTCATAAGTCAAGGACTACCTGTATGAGTAATGTTATATTTTAGGTCCACTACAAATATTGCAAGGAGGAAAATGTCCTCTTGTGAAGGCATTCAAGAGCCGTGATGGCACAGTGGTTAGAATGCAGTATTGCAGGTTAACTCTGCTCACTGCCAGCAGTTCAATCCTGACTGGCTCATGGTTGACTCAGCCTTCCATCCTTCCAAGGTCGATAAAAAGAGGGCCCAGATTACTGGGGGCAAGAGGCTGACTCTGTAAACTGCTTAGACAGGACTGTAAACCACTGTGAAGTAGTATATAAGTCTAAGTCTATTGCTATTGCTATTCATTTAGCTGTGCTTCTAGTGATAAGCATGTTTTATTGGGGGAAATAAATTCCATAAGTCTTCAAAGAGGTTTATTCTGAAGTGTGATGAGGATTGGAATGTAAAGTTTAGACTGAGATTTCAGAATAATAGAAGAGAAATAGGCACAAGGTAGAAATGTTTAGGAAAGAAAACATTGCTGTCACTGGCTGTGTTGGATCTATATCCTTAGCTTATGTGCTCTAAAAACCAAAAGTGAGATTTGTAAGGATCGGGTTATCTCTTCATTTCCCTCACTAGAGGGATGCAATCTATGTATTTTTTGTGTCTGTTTGATTGTTTGTCATCTTCAGCTGGTGAAACAGCGCATCATAGGGAAACAACTTTTTAAAACAAGATACCTCAATGGGGCTAACTTACAGAATGCAACCAAAATCAAGTCGGCAATAAGCATTGGAAATAGAAATCATGTGACTGTGGCTGTCTACGGAAGCCATCACACTTCTGTGCAATTGAAATTTAGGAAAGTTGTGATGGCTTCAGTGGACAGTCACCGCCAGGTGAATGCCAACTTGCCACAAGGAAAGTCAATGGGGAGGTCAGCGGGAAGTTAGAAGTTGCTTCCATTCCCACTACTTTTTGCCTCCCCTTAGTTATCTGTTTAGGCATCGAAATATCTCTGAAACTACGAGCTAGATCATGAGTTGTCTAGCAGCTTATAAAAGTGTTGAGTATTCTAATAGCAAGTCCTAAGAGTGGGACCCACCGTCCGTATCAGCACAAAGTGTGTAGAGCAGAGATGGACCTTCATCTTGTGGTTGAAGAACACACATTTTTGGGGTGGGAGGAGAACGTTTGGAAGATAATGGTATATACCTCATGACCTAGAAAGACCTGCATGGCTTAGGCCTTTAGGACAGTTGCTCCAGGTAGAATCTACCCACCCAAAGAGAGGGTGCCGTGAATACCCACTCCCTGAAAAATCATGTCAGATATGAAAGTCCGGGTCCACACATGAAGGTTCAATTAAATTAAATTAAAATGATTTGTCGCTGTAGCCTAGGCACAAGAATCTTCTCAACTAACAGTCACCACCTGGTTAGAGTTAGATACGGGTCAATGGCACTCAAGGATTGTTGGCTTTAGTTTGCTTGTGGCTACATAGGGATTCTAGGCTGATCCCTCTTTTCACCCTGCCCCCAGGTTCTCCCACATCATGGGAGTAGGACAGCAACAGCAATAGCAACAGCTCCCTTTTTTACTTTTTAAAATACTCAGCCTTCCCAGGTCTAAATGAGCCCACCATTTTATCATTCCTAAAAGAATTGTGGTAATTGTTCATTTCTGCAAACACAGTAAATGTGATGTGTTCTTTTATCTGGTCCTCCCACACGTATTTATTTAGAGTATCGTAAGCCACCTAGAATCTAGTAAGTAGTGTTTACTGAGAGGGGGGGAATTTATGCAAATAAATAAATCTATAAAATAAAAGTGAACATATGAACACAGAAGGACAATCTTGGCACAAGAGAAGCGAGCACTCCGTAAAGCCAGAGCTGCAAATGCTGAAGCAATAGTGTCCACATTTCTGTTCAGTATGTGGCAGAACATTCTGTGCTAACATCGGTCTCATCAGCCATCTACGGACACACCGCTGATGGCCCATAATCCATAAGATGTCAAGGTCTTCATCGAAATCGATGGACGAACAACACACACATTTAGAATATCGTAATCCACCTAGAATCTAGTAAGTAGTGTATACTGAGAGGGGGGGAATTTATGCAAATAAATAAATCTATAAAATAAAAGTGAACAACTAGAGACACCCTTCCTCCCCCAAAGGGTTACATTTAGGCAGCCTAGCCTAACCTGAGGATGCCAAGTATTAAAGCTGAGGTTTTCATTATCCAAAGTAAAGGTGTGTTTCCATCCTTGTGGCATTATCACCCATCCATCAATTTCCAAGTCATCCATTTTCCGGGACAAATCTGCCATTTCAATACTATGGGGCATGGATATGCATGACTGACCGTTCTTGAAGAAGATGTTTCTATCAAAAAAGTGAAGTGGGCAGTTGAAAATAGAAGCTACATGCAGAATATGAGAGTGAGTAGTGGAGGAACAGTGGAAGTGGGATTTTCGGTAACTTGACAGACTACAGGCACAACCATAAATACAATATCTCCATTGGAAAAATATTTGTAAAAGTTGAAATAGTCCTCCATATAGGCCTCTTGGTAGAAACCATGGCAACAACACAGGCATCCCAACATGTTTGCCAGAATGCTACAGATTTAGTCGTTTGCATCGGTCATGTCCTGATGCAAATACGGAACATTATTTCTATCAATTACATAATGATGTCATGACTGGCATGATGTCACTTGCCTTCTCTGCAAATGCCCTTGTTTCCCAGGGTCAAATATTAGAATAACAAGAGTTGGAAGGAACCTTGGACATTTTCTAGTCCAACCCCCTGCTCAAGCAGGAGATCTACCATTTCAGACAAATGGCTGTCCAATCTCTTCTTAAAAATATCCAATGTTGGAGCACCCACAACATCTGGAGTCAGGCTACTCTATTAATTCATTGTTCTAGCTATCAGGAAATTTCTCGTTAGTTCTAGGTTGGTTCTCTCCTTGATTAGTTTCCATCCATTGTTTTTTCTCCTGCATTCTGGTGCTTTGGAGAATAGTCTGACCCCCCCCTCTTCTTTGTGGCAGCCTCTTATATTCTAGATGAGTAGCAACCTTCAAGAAACTCTTTGAAGGGACTTTTGGATGCTTTGGCTCAGCCTCCAGATCAGGGGCGTCAAACTGCCGGCCCATGGGCCGGACACGTCACGTGGAAGCCGCGCCCACTCCATTGCCGGCAATGGCAAAACAGCCCCAATATGTTGCATGACATTGCAAGTTTGACATGTCTGCTCCAGATGTTCAATATGGCACATATTGAGATTCCAACTCAGCTGGCAGCCAAGAGGTGTTTGTCTGCAAAGAAAGTTTCCCTGGTATATAAGGTCTTGTTCACCTGCAGCCCTTTTGGACAGATAATTTGTGAGGGCTTCTAGATGGAGGTATGTTCAGAGGTGTGTTCTGGAGACATAGCATAACTACCTGCCGTTTATAGCAGATGGTGCAACACAGTGCCTTACATGCACTGGTGCATCCTGATTACCTTGTTTCTGACTTTCCCAAGTTATGCTTCTTAACTTAGAAAATATATTCACCAGCTGTTTCTTAAACTGTAATTAGGAAGTCTCTGATGGCTGCTTATTCCAGTGGGAAACAGTGGAAAATCCCAAAGAGAGCAAAACCCATTATTTGCTGTTGGTATTATTCCTAGCTATGGTAAGACATGGAGGAGAGGACCTTCTGGAAGATCTGAGAGACAGGGGTGAAGAATAGATAGTCCTGGAGGTAACTTGGGTTCAAACTATATACAGAAAAGATGCTGATACCCTAGAAAGTACACAGAGAAGAGCAACCAAGATCATCATCTTTGTTGCTCTTCTCTGCACACTTTCCAGGGTCTCGGCATCTAAATCATATGATGAAGAGTGGAAGGAACTAGGAGGGTTTAGCCTATTGAAGAGAAGGATTAGGGATGACATGATGAGGGGCTGTAATGAAGAAGAGGGGATTGACTTATTGTCCAAAGCACCTGAAGGCAGAACAAGAAGTAATGGGTGGAAGACCATTGAAGAGAGAAGCAACTTAGAATTAAGGAGGAATTTTCTGACAGTGAGAACAGTTAATCAGTGGAATGACTTGCCTCCTGGAGTTGTGGGTGCTCCATCACTGGAGATTGTTAAGAAGGGAGAAGACAACCATTTGACTGGGGTGGTATAAAGTCTCCTGCCTTGAGCAGGAGTTTGGATTAGAAGAACTAAGTCACTTCCAGCTCTGTGTTCTATGTTTCAGAAAGAACCAAACTTTTCAGCACAGGGATTATAAGGCAGAACCAAGAAGTAACATTGACTGCCTGCCTTGCCATGTTCTGGGTCAACTGCAATGGCTACATTACTTTTCACAAGCAACTGAGAAATAATCTTGAAGTCACTGTGACTATTTGCCATGCTTGTATCCTCCTTCAGCTATTTCCCCATTAAATGTATCTTAATTGGAGGACTTCATGGTTCTTAACAGTGTGGGTCATTATAAGCTTTCAGTAAATCATTAAAGGGCTGATAATAACAGCAAACTCCATCTTCCTCCACAACTGATTAATTTATGCAGCGTGCTTGTGGGTTACATATATACTACATATGCCTTAATGAAACAGCCAAATTGTAGTCGGCACAGAGCCGTGTTAACAGTTAACAGATGGGCATAAACATTTGCAGCAAAAATAGCATGTGGGGGTAACATTTTCTGCCCAGATAATTTCATTTTAGCTAATGTATCTGTTGCAGTATTATCTATCTCTGGTGGTTTTTATATCTGGAAAACAAAAAAAGGACATAGTATTAATACAAAGTCTGGGTTGGGCCAAAAGTGAAGCAACCCATGGCAGAGAGGATATTTGGGAGCCAAAGTGCATCAACTGCAAGAGGTGAAGGTACTTTAGATAAGCTATGAAGTTCCACTGTGATGTACAGGTAGTTGTGGCCTTAAGTCCGCAACGGACTCCAACATTTCTGTTGCTAAGCGAGACATTTGTTAAGTGAGTTTTGCCCCATTTCTTGCCACGGTTGTTAAGTTGAATCTGGCTTCCCCATTGAGTTTGCTAGTCAGAAAGTCACAAAAGGGGATTGCATGACCCCGGGATATTGCAACCGTCATAAATATGTGTCATGTGAATTTTGATCCTGTGTCCCTGGGGATACTACGACGGTCATAAAGTGTGAAAGCTGGTCCTAAGTCACTTTTTTCAGTGTCACCGTAACTTCAAACAGTCACTAAATGAACAATTGTTAAGTCGAGGATTATCTGTAACTGATCTCAAGCTACTTCTGAAAGCAGCCAACCTAGAGTTTTGGTTTGGCAAGGGTCTTGATGGCCAGTCATAAATGCTTGTTGTTGTTGTTGTTAATTGCGAAGTCGTGTCCGACCCATCGCGACCCCATGGACAACGTTCCTCCAGGCCTTCCTATCCTCTACCATCTTCTGGAGTCCATTTAAGCTCACACCTCCTGCTTCAGTGACTCCATCCAGCCACCTCATTCTCTGTCGTCCCCTTCTTCTATTGCCCTCAATCTTCCCCAGCATTAGGATCTTCTCCAGTGAGTCCTTCCTTCTCATTAGGTGGCCAAAGTATTTGAGTTTCAACTTCAGGATCTGTACTGTACTGTCCATGGGGTTTTCATGGCAAAGATACTGGCGTAGTTTGCCATTTCCTTCTCCAGTGGATCACATTTTGTCACAACTCTCTGCTATGACCTGTCCGTCTTGGGTGGCCCTGCATGGCATAGCTCATAGCTTCATTGAGTTATGCAAGCCCCTTTGGCACGACAAGGCAGTAATCCATAAAGGGATCATAAATGCTAATGTGATGTAAATCTAAGGGGACAAAGTAATGGCTCAAAGCACGGCGGATTTTCACGAATGAAGGCGAATCTACGCGTCCCGGGATAATGTTGCAGGATCCAAGCTAGGCTGGTCACCAGAGGTTTAATCTTCCAAGCTTTCAGACTCATGCCCATCTTTAGGGAACTTCTCTCCACCAGAATATGTGCTTTGAGCATAGAACCCCAGTCAACACCTAAAAAGCCACGCACAACTAGGCACCATATAAATACCACACAGAGCATAGCCCAAAGCACACACTGCGCTAGAGAGACATTTCCCAAGGATGGGGCCCAGCACGAGTCCAAAAACTTAACTTCTGGTCTTGGGGACCAACCCAGATTGGTTCCTGCAAGGATTTTACTCCAAATTTCTGTTTAATCATGAAGCTTCCTGAATATCTTTGATTCAGGAGCTATTTGTCATGATTTGAAAGGATAGTTCATCAGGACAGCAATTAGAGTATAATTATCTCTTAAGAGATATGCATGAGTCTGTGTAACATCAT